CTATTACCAAATCTCAGTCACTTCAGTCTACACCTGAAGTGATTCAGTAGCCTGAATTACGCCAGTGACTATTTCAGTCTTTTGCAAAGAACTGAAAGCATTCTGAACTCTTCAGTACCCACCTCTACTCTGTCCCTCTAGAATCTTCCAAGGTAAAACACCTTAGTGAAGGGTGGAATCAAAAGCATGCCTATTCAACTTAAAGATGCAACAATGAACTATACTGTATACCAGTCACAGGGGTTCTTGTCAACTAGACTGCAAGCTAGATTCATGAAAAAAAAGTCTAAGAGTTAAGATTAGAGGCCAAGAGCGTGGCTCACGCCTATAATCCCAGCGCTTTGAGAAGCCAAGGTGGGTGGATCAGCTGAGGTCAGGAGTTCAAGACCAGTCTGGCCAACATAGTGAAACCCAATCTTTACTAAAAATATAAAAATTAGCCGGGTGTGGTGGCACGTGCCTGTAATCCCAACTACTCAGGAGGCTGAGGCAGAAGAATCGCTTGAACCCAAGAGGTGGAGGTTGCAGTGAGCCAAGATCACGCCACTGCACACCAGCCTGGGTGACAGAGTGACACTCCATCTCAAAACAAACACACAAAAAGAGTTAAGATTAGGATCATGGTATTTAACAAACACAGCAGTTTAAAAAAACATCTAGGGCCGGGTGTGGTGGCTCACGCCTGTAATCCCAGCACTTTGGGAGGCCGAGGCAGGTGGATCACGAGGTCAAGAGTTCAAGACCAGACTGGCCAACATGGTGAAACCCCGTCTCTACGAAAAATACAAACATTAGCCAGGCGTGGTGGCGCGCCTGTAATTGCAGCTACTCGGGAGGCTGAGGCAGGAAAATCGCTTGATCCCAGGAGGCAGAGGTTACGGTGACTGAGATTGTGCCGCTGCACTCCAGCCTGGGCGACAGAGTGACTGTCTCGGAAAACTAGTAATAATAATACAAAAAAAAAAAAAAAAAAAAAAACTTCTAGACCATTATCTTTGGTCCCTATCTCAAGAGGACTATTACAATTTTAAAAGAATGCACTAGAAATACAAATATGTTCCCAAAAGAATAAAAAAGAGAGTCACACATACAATCTGTGTAGCAGTGTAACTGAATTAAATACAGCTGGTTATTTCAACGGGAAAAATCTAGACTATTGATTTTAAAAATATCTATTATTTAATAAAAATAAAAAGGTCCCATGACTGCACATGCAGACAAAACCTTAACAAGTGAAAATTAAATTAACAGAAGACTTTTGATTACACAATTGATAGACTACTACACAGTCAGAAGACCAGAATCTGATAACCAGCTGTATGATGTTAGGCAAGTTACTTAACTCCTTGGGAATTTTTGTTATTCACCAATCAAAATGAGCAGAGGTGATTTTTGAAGTCCCGTGTACCTCAAAATCTGATTCAATTCTACTCAGTATTTACTGAGCACAGTCCCCACTATACATATAGTTGTCAAACTATTAAAATTAATGCTAAGGGCTGGGTGCAGTGGCTCACACCTATAATCCCAGCACTTTGGAAGGCCAGGGCAGGAGGACTGCTTGAGCCCAGAACTTCAAGAACCAGCCTGGGCAAGATGGTGAGAACCCGTTTCCACAAAACAAAACAAACAAACAAAACTGGCTGAGTGTGATGGTACATGCCTGTAGTCCCAGCTACTCAGAAGGTTTAGGTGGAAAGATCGCTTAAGCCCAGGAGTTCAAGGCTGCAATGAGCTTATGATCACGTCATTGCACTCCAGCCTGGGTGACAAAAAGAGACCCTATCTCTATAAAACAAACAAACAAAAACTAAAATTAATGCTAGATGTCTAGGAACCAGTAATAGTAGATGTGGTCCCCACTACCCCCTCTTTTATTTGGAGACAAGATCTCACTATGTTGCCCAGACTGTACTCAACTCCTGGGCTCAAGTGATTTTCCCACCTCAGCCTTGGGAGCAGCTGGGACTACAGGTACTGACCACTGTCCCTGGCTTTTTTTTTCTTTTCATTTTTAAATTTACTCCTCTCAGCTCATACCTATTTAAGAAAAACAAAAACCAAAAACCTTTATTGAAATACAATTCATATATCATACAATTTGCTCACTTGAGGTGTACGATTCAATGGGTTTTAGTATATCAATGGAATTGTGTAATCACTACAATCAATCTTACAACATTTTCATCACTCCAAAAAGAAAACTTCTTACCCTTTGGCAGTCATGCTATGTTTCCACTAGCCTCTGAAGCCCTAGAAAACCATTAATCTACTTTGTGTTTCTGTACGTTTACCTATTCTGGACTTTAGGCATTAGATTCTCATAAGGAGCATGCAATCTAGATCCCTCAAATGCATAGTTCACAATAGCATTCGTGCTCCTATGAGAATTTAGTCCCACCACTGATTTGACAGGAGATGGAGCTCAGGCGGTAATGCTCGACCTGCTGCTCACCTCCTGCTGTGTTGTTCCTAACAGGCCAGACTAGTACTGGTCCTAGGCCCAGGGGTTGGGGACCCCTGATATAGATGGAATCATGCAATATACAGCCTTTTGTGTCTGGCTTTTTTTTTTTACTTCATATATAATGGTTATTTCATTTTATTTTCATTTTCTTTTTCTTACCGGTGCTCTACACATTCAGAAAAACTTCTCTAGTAACATACTACAGAAATGATCCCTGAAAATATAGTCTTAGTATATGTTATTATTATTATTATTTTTTGAGACAGAGTCTCACTCTGTTGCCCAGGCTGGAGTGCAATGGCACAATCTCAGCTCACTACAACCTCCGCCTCCCCGGTTCAAGTGATTCTCCTGTCTCAGCCTCCCAAATAGATTACAGACACACATAACCATGCCCAGCTAATTTTTTGTATTTTAGTAGAGATGGGGTTTCACTGTGTTGCCCAGGCTGGTCTCGAACTCCTGAGCTCAGGCAATCCACCCACCTTGGCCTCCCAAAGTGCCAGGATTACAGACATCAGCTGCCACGCCTGGCCAGTATATGTTTTTAAGGTAGCACACATACCAGTATTTCATTTCTTTTTATTGCTGAATAATATTCTACTGTATTATATGGATATTTTATTCATTCATTCATCAGTTGTGGGTTTTGGATTGTTTCTACTTTTGACTATCATGAATAATGCTGCTACCAACATTTATGTATAAGTCCATACAAAAACTTGTGTATTCATTTCTCCTATATATCTAGGAGCAGAACTATCAGGTCAGGAATAACTCTATGTTTAACCTTTATTTCCCTAAAGGAATAAAAAACAGAGTCACACACACAACCTGTGTAACAAGGTGATTGAACTTACCTTTTTTTTTTTTCTGAGATGGGGTCTCACTATGTTGCCCAGGCTAGTCTCCAAACTCCTGGACTCAAGTGATCCTCCTGCCTCAGCCTCCCAAGTAGTTGGGATTATTATCATCTTTTGGAGTATAGCCATCCTAGTGGCTGTGGAGTAGATGTTTTAAAATTACAACACATGATTATTGAAGTGACTAGTTTTGTGACTTTAAGAAACTCATTCAATCACTTTGAAATTCAGCCTTCTCATCCGTAAAATGGAAATAAGACATATTATAGGGTTCTTAAGGGCTTTAGTGAAATAATATAGAAAAAATTTATAGTATCTATCACAAAGCATACAATCAACAGTAGTTAATTATTATCATTAGGTTCTCTGCCTTCTAGAACTCACCAATCTAAATGGAAAAACAAAATGCCCTCATAAAGTATTAACTGGCAATACTTAAGTGCAAAAACAAGTGGCAGAGATAATAAAGACACAAGAATGTAAGGAGAATGATATGACTAATGAGTGTAAGGGATAGGAAAAGCCTGTGGGATATTTGCTGGATCTTGAATAGTAAGATCAGCATAGCTAGGAAAGGCAAGAGGAGGCAGGCATCGCACACATGGGCCCAGATTAAAGAAGGAAAAAAAGAGCCCGGGTATCAGAAACCCAAAACCAGCTGCGTATGGTGGCTCTAGCCTGTAATCCCTGCACTCACTCAGCACTTTGGGAGGCTGAGGCAATAGGATTGTTTCAGGCAAATAGTTTGAACAATATAGCAAGACCTCAATTCTACAAAAAATAAAAAATAAATTAAAATAAATAAATAAATAAAAAACATAGCTGGGTGTAGTGGCACCATGCTGGTAGTCCCTGCTACTCAGGAGCCTAGGAGTTTAAGGCTGCAGTGAGCATGATGGCACTACTGCACTCTAGCCTTGGTGACAGAGCGAGACCATCTCAACAAATTAGTAGAAACAAAACAAAAAACAGGACTGTACATTCAGACCTGGTGACAGCAGGAAATATGTTTGAGTGGGTGGCATAGGGACGATCACAGAACTGAAGGCTCTGAATTTCATCTCCCAAGCAACAGGAGTTATTGAAGATTTACAGGAAACTATGAAATTAGGCTTTTAGCAAAAATAATCTGGCAGCAGAGGGAAAGACTTGAGGTCAATTAACCTATTAGAAAGTTGTTTCAAAGGCTAGGCACAGGGGCTCATGCCTGTAATCTCAACACTTTGGGAGGCTGAGGCAGATGGTTCTCTTGAGTCTGGGAGTCCAGACCAGCCTGGGCAACACGGCGAAACCCCATCTCTATAAAAACACACAAAAAATTAGTGAAGCATGGTGGTGCATACCTGCAGTCTCAGCTACCCAGGAGGCTGAGGTGGGGAGGATCACCTCAGCCTGGGAGGCTGCAGTGAGCCATGATCACGCCAGTGCACTCCAATCTGGGTGACAGAGTCCTCCCGTCCCCCAACAAAGTTGTTTCAGATAAGATAAAAAATGGAAATTTAGATAAAGGGACCAGATGTGAGAAGCACAGGGAAAGAAGACAGACTCCTTGAATGGACCGACATTATGAACATTCTGGAAATAACACAATCTGGAAATGCCAATATACCCAAAATGAAATCTGAAAATGACAATACATATTGGTAATCAAATAATTAATACAGACTTACCCTCTGCAATATCTGAGCATGATGTACCAATGGCTGTGTCCCCACTGTCGGCTACACTTGAACAGCGGCTGAAGCGGCTCCGAAAGGGCTCCGAGATAACTGGGGTCTGCCATTCAGTCCCCAGGGAACTGCCCTTCTGAATCACATTGGAACCTGAAACAAGAGGCATTTCCCACCTTTACTGTGAACGAGCTGATGTAACCCCATTAGATCGTTTTTTTACAAAATCACATAAACCATGAGAGAATAGCAGCAATCTACCCCTTTCTCTCTTCTGTGCCTATTTCAGCTGCTCCGACCTAGTTTTTTTTTTTTTTTTGGAGACGGAGTCTGCTCTGTTGCCCAGGCTAGAGTGCAGTGGTGTGCAACTCACGGCAACCTCCGCTTCCTGGGTTCAAGCAATTCTCTGCCTCAGCCTCCCGAGTAGCTGGGATTACAAGTGCCTGCCACCACGCCCAGTTAATTTTTGTATTTTTAGTAGAGACGGGGTTTTACCATCTTGGCCAGGCTGGTCTTGAACTCCTGACCTCATAATTCACCCTCCTCGGCCTCCCAAAGTGCTGGGATTACAGGTGTGAGCCAGCGGGCCCAGCCTGAGCTAGTTAATTTTAAGTGGAAATAATATGAGAAGTGAGAATATTCAAAGATGGTAATAAGTAAGACCCACCAAGAATCCAGGAGTACTGGAACAGAAAACAATCATATTTAATAGCAGTGGCCATTTATTGAAACCTGTAAAGACACAGCACCTTACAAACATAATCTTGCCTACCTACTTACTGAAAAGTATTACCACCCCTATTTTACAGAGGGGAGGGCTGATATTTGAACCCAGTTCTTTCTGATTCCAAAACCCACATTCTTTCCTCTTACAGTTTCTCAATGGTGCTTTTGGCATTCTGGGGATGACCATTCTTCAATGTGTAGTCTATACATTACAGAATGGTTTAGCATCCCTGGTTCCCACTCACTAAATGCCAGCAGCAACCCTCAACCAAGCAACAAGCAGTCCAGTTCCCAGTTGAAAATCATTGCTTCGAGGTTGCAGTGAGCCAAGATCGCGCCATTGCACTCCAGCCTAGGCAACAAGAGCGAAACTCCGTTCCCCTCATCCCCCAAAAAAAGAAAAGAATATCATTGTGTCACTGAACCAGGGTACCCTCAATAGGTGAATCCTATGGAGATCAAGGTGAGTTTTGAAAGTCAATCTGAAGAGCCTAGGGTTTTATCTTGAGAGCTATGTGAAGAAATCACTAAAACTGCTGAGCAGGTTAAGACAAAGACCGGTGAGATTGATTTGATTTAAAATATGCTGTTTGAGGGGAGGTAGGTAGGAAGTGTTCAATAAATACTTGATTCACTAACATTCTAGCAAAGACTTAAATTTATTTTTTAAAAACCACTATAATTTTCCTAAGGTGTATCTGGTAATCCATGTAAACAAATAAACAAAAAAACTAACGGCAGCTACTTATCCTCCATTTAACCTAAAGTGTGACAGCTGACATCAGAAAATACGGTTCTACAGACTTTCTGATCTAGTGGAAGGCAAATGATATTTAGACACAAATTACTTTATTCCTTTCTTCCAAGTTTAGTGCTTCTCCCATTTTTTTAACCTATTTTCTTCCACTTTTGCTCCTTTTTTGCTACCCTTACCTTGGCTTTCTACTGAAGGCAACCTGACTTTCCCCAAATACTTCTATTCTTTGGATCACAGTGACTGCCTCATTTGAAAGAATCTTTATATACTCAATAATCTGTAATTGTTATAGAAGACACAGGCAACAGTCAGAGTTTCTGAGCAGCATGAGATTAGCCAATGCTACTATACTAAGTTGGTGTAATTCTAACCCAAAGCAAAGAAATCTGACCTTCTGGTGAGTCTACACAGCTTTCTCTCTCTAGTCAGTGTAAAATTTGCCAGTCTTTTTGAAACAGTTAAGATTGAGGGCCTCTATTACCACCTTCCTGACTTCCTACTGGAAACTGCTCCCTGTTACTACTACTAATCTTCCACTCTTCATCGTTACCATTTTTCCATCCACTTACTCCATACTCTAACTCCAAAGAGTTATTTGTTAAAAACATATTTTGATATATTTATAGAGGTTTACACTTATTTCAAAATTGAAGTTTAAATGCTGAAGTTGGCCGGGTACCGTGGTCATGCCTGTAATCCTGGCACTTTGGGAGGCCAGGGCAAGCAGATTACCTGAGCTCAGGAGTTGGAGACCAGCCTGGGCACATGGTGAAACCCCGTATCTACTAAAATACAAAAAAATTAGCCAGGCGTGGTGGTGCATGCCTGTAATCCCAGCTACTTGGAAGGTTGAGGCACAAGAATCACTTAAACCCAGGAGACGGAGGTTGCAGTGAGCTGAGATTATGCCACTGCACTCCAGCCTGGGCCACAGAGCAAGATTCTGTCTCCAAAAAAAAAAAAGCTGAAATTTTTTGTGTTATAGTGCATGTCCTATCAGTAGCATCCTTATCAATTATTAAGACCTTTATTAATCTGAATGAGATACTACTGAAGAGAGAAAAAAACCATCAGAAAGCTTTGTTAGGAAAGGGAATGTTCCAAAAACTTCCATTATATACATAATTGTCATAGAAACTGTACAAATCTCAGAGAATGTGCAAGCACATAAGCAGGTGTTTAAAAAATATTTGCTGAGGCCGGGCACAGTGGCTCATGCCTGTAATCCCAGCACTTTGGAAGGTTGAGGCGGGCGGATCATAAGGTCAGGAAATTGAGACCACCTGGCTAACATGGTGATAACCCATCTCTACTAAAAAATACAAAAAATAAGATGGGTGTGGTGGCGGGCGCCTGTAGTCCCAGCTACGTGGGAGGCTGAGGCAGGAGAATGGCATGAACCCGGGAGGCAGAACTTGCAGTGAGCCGAGATCGTGCCACTGCACTCCAGTCAGGGTGACAGAGCGAGATTCCGTCTCAAAAAAAAAAAAAAAAAGGCTGAATGAATCTTGAATTGATTCAACTAATGCTTATAATGGTGCCTACTATATGCAAGGCAGCATGCCTAAGAGAATATACCAAACATTTACTGAATATCTATGCTGAGGAAGGCACTGTGAGATTTTTAAGTTAAATAAAACATACCTTAAGTTGAATTAAATGTGCCCTCTTCTTTACCAATACCCCAGAATTCAACAAGTCATTTTTCTAAAATACTACTTATTTGAAATATGTATTATCTACTTAACATGCCTGCACAGTGTATACATATATTTACGTGTTTAATATACAGTCAGCTCTCCGTATCCGTGGTTTCTTTTTTTTCCTATTTTTTTGAGACACAGTCTCGCTCTGTTGCCCAGGCTGGAGTGCAGTGGCCCGATCTCAGCTCGCCTCAACCTCCGCTTCCCAGGTTCAAGTGAATCTCCTGCCTCAGCCTCCCAAGTAGGTGGGATTACAGGCACGTGCCACTGCACCCTACTAATTTTTGTATTTTTAGTAGACACGGGGTTTCACCATGTTGGCCAGGCTGGTCTCGAACTCCTGACCTCAGGTGATCCACCCGCCTTGGGCTCCCAAAGTGCTGGAATTATAGGTGTGAGCCACAGCGCCCGGCCATATTCACGGTTTCTACGAGTGTGAATTCAACCAATTTTTTTTAATGGCATCTTACTAAATGTGCATAGACTTGTTTTTCTTCTTATTCCCCAAACAATACAGTATAACTATTTACATAGCATTTACATTGCATTGGGCATTACAAGTAATCTAGAGACGGTTTAAGGTAAACAGTAGGATATACATAGGTTATATGCAAATACCACACCATTTTATATCAGAGACTCGAGTTATCTGTGGATTTTGGTATCTGCAGGAGTTCTTGGAACCAATCTGCCATGGATACTTAAGGACTATAGATATTTAATATATTTACTGAAGTTTAAAAATCTTGTTAATCCACTCTAAAGTTAAATTTCTGAGTTTCTAGTAACAACACAACAGAATCTGTTGGCATCCAAGCAGAATTTCAATCTTTGTGGGCTAGCAGATGACTGACCCACCCGGAGGACAAAGACAACATAGAACACAGTAATTTATGCTGTGTTTTTCTGATTTCAAATGGAACTATGTTCCAAAGTCATCCTGTTCCAATCCTTTATGTGTCGTCCTCTCCCAACCACGTGGTCCTGTTGAAAGCCATGTAGGACAAGAGATAAATAATTGTTCCCTCAGAGACCTGTTTTTATATTCTATGAAGCTGCATGTTATTTTTGTTCTTTTAGCACCAGCATTTCAGTGAATGCTTGTTTGTTCAATATTTACCTTAAGGAATATGAAAAAACAGAACAAAGGTCAGAATCTAACCCAGAAAACTTTTGACTACTCACTTGGTGAAGTGATGTGAGAGATCCCCTCAGTTGGATATTTCTCCTGCATGGCCATCACAGTTATCTGAGCCAACTGTAGAATGAAGGAATAACCAGTCAGTTCTCTGCAGTATCTTTGATTCCCTGCAAGTTGGTTCCCATTCAACTGAAACTGTCAAAACCATATAGAATATTCAAGTATTTGGCCAGGCACAGTGGCTCACGCCTGTAATCCCAGCACTTTGGGAGGCCAAGGCGGGCCGATCACCTGAGGTCAGGAGTTCAAGACCAGCCTGACCAACATGGTGAAACCCCATCTCAACTAAAAACACAAAAATTGGCCAGGCGTGGTGGCACACATCTGTAATCCCAGCTATTGGGAGGTTGAGGCAGGAGGATTGCTTGAACCCAGGAGGCAGAGGTTTCAGTGAGCCAAGATCACACCACTGCACTCCAGCCTGGGCAACTGAGCAAGACTCCATCTCAAGAAAATAAAAAAGAATATTCAAGTATTCTAAATGTTTTACTCCTAAGGATATTTAGGAGTAAATATGTTTTTATGTATTTTACTTCTAAGGATATTTTTAAAGACAAAGTAAATCTCAATACTCCACTCTACTTATCTCTTCCTAAATCCAGTACAGAAAACCTAGAACCAGAGATTACCAATGCAGACTCCATATGGTCCTAGAACCCTTCTGATTTTTACAAAATTTAAAAATATTACTTTTAATTAACAAACTTTACCATGAATCTTCTCAGCCATGGGGACATGATGACAGGATGAGGTGGATAAAGAACTAAAGAACTGGCCGGGCGCGGTGGCTCACGCCTGTAATCCCAGCACTTTGGGAGGCCGAGGCGGGCGGATCACAAGGTCAGGAGATCGAGACCACGGTGAAACCCCGTCTCTACTAAAAATACAAAAAATTAGCCGGGCGCGGTGGCGGGCGCCTGTAGTCCCAGCTACTCAGGAGGCTGAGGCAGGAGAATGGTGTAAACCCAGGAGGCGGAGCTTGCAGTGAGCCGAGATCGCGCCACTGCACTCCAGCCTGGGCGACAGAGCGAGACTCCGTCTCAAAAAACAAAAAACAAACAAAAAAAAAGAACTAAAGAACTAAACCAACAGTGAAGTATTACAGCCTCAATTATGATTAACATAAAACAAATTCCTCAATTCTTCCAGTAATTAAAGTCGGTCATACGCTGTATAAAGATGGAAAGAACTCTTGATCATAAGTAGAACCGCAATCCTGAGCTAGGAACATGAAGCTCTCGTCCCATGTTCTCACTCCTTAAAATACTTATATTTACAGTACACTAGGGGTAGGTGCCAAGAATTCAGCAGAAGCAGATTTGAAGTCTAAACAAATACACTTGAACCCACTAAACATTAAGTTACCAATTTATTAACCACGTAACCTTGGGCAAATTTCTTAGTATCTCTGTTCCTCAGTTTATTCATATAAAAAGGAGGATAACGACACAACCTAATTCATGTTAATTCATTTATAATTAACTTACAACAGTGCCTGACACATACTAAGTGCTGTTATTACTTGGCAATTTACATCAGCAAAAGTGGCACTGTACACCCATGGAAGATCAAGGAGTATAAATTCAGAAACTCTAAATTTATAAAAGCCCCAAAAGAGTTTGGGACAATTCAGCCAGGCTCAGTGGCTCACGCCTGTAATCCCAGCACTTTGGGAGGCCGAGGCAGGCAGACCACCTGAGGTCAGGAGTTCGAGACCAGCCTGGCCAACATGGTGAAACCTCGTCTCTACTAAAAATACAAAAAATAGCCGAGCGTGGTGGCAGGTGCCTGTAATCCCAGCTACTCGGGAGGCTGAGGCAGGAGAATCGCTTGGACCTGGGAGGCGGAGGTTGCAGTGAGCCAAGACCAGCCAAGATCGCACCATTGCACTCCAGCCTGGATGACAGAGCAAGACTCCCTCACCCAAAAAAAAAAAAAAAAAAAAAAAAAAGAAAAGAGTTTGGGACAACTCACAGAACATAACTCTCAGAGGTGAAAATCACTCTGTAGAAAAAAGAAGACCATATGGTACTATTTCTCTAACGTACTTTAGTGACCTCTATAGTATTCTCTCAGTAACAACAACCCAAACCCTTATTAATCCACTGCATTTACAACAGACAAAGGGTATCATCCTCAGAATCCCAGTTCTTCACATACTGGGTGAGGGAAGCTTTGTTCAGTAATAAAAGCTTTAGTTTATGGCAAGTATGATTCTGTGAGTTAGATGATGATATAGAAGGATTAGATTACCTCCTTACTAGTGATTTCCTTTCTTGTCAATATCAAAATCCTTTTATTCACTCCTTTCTTTAAAGGATGACAAAACGGTAGGCCCACTGGATTCTAAGACGTTTCTAAATTCAGACAAGTTGAAAATATGGTGACAGAAGAACTCCCAGTTACCCTATGACTCAGCAATTCCACACTGAAGTATATACCCAAGAGAAATGAAAACATAGGTTTACACAAAAGCTTCAATAAGAATGTTCATAGCAGCATTATTTACAATAGCCAAAAAGTGGAAACAACACAAATGTCCATCAGCAATGAATGGATACATAAAACATGGTATATCCAAAAACCAGAATATTACTCAGCAATAAAAGGAAGTACTGATACATGTGACAACATGGATGAACACTGAAGACATGCACAGTCAAAGAAGTCAAACAAAAGGCTTGATCCTATTTACATGAAATGTCAGAATAGGCAAATCCAGAGAGACACAGATAGTGACTGCAAGGGACTGAGAGGAGGGAGGGTAGGAGAATAGGAAGTGACTGCTAATGGATATCGGGTTTCTTCTCAGGGTGATCAAAATGTTCTGAGATTAGATAGTGGTGACTGACTGCACAACCTTGCCAATATATTAAAAACCTCTGAATTGCACACACATAAAATTAAATTTTATGGTACGTGATATAAATCAAAAATAAAATTCTAAGGCACCCCCAACCATCTGAATGGACCCCTCCCCTTGGCTAAGGACGTTCCAAAGTTAAGCTGAAAAACCTGTTAAGGCCATGAAGGCGGTAGTGGTGGTGGAGTCCTACACCCCTCATTATACCCTCCTCCCTTCTGGAATTCAGGAAAAGCATTAACATTAACACAGATGTCTGTAAGAAACATTTACAATCTATTCTCTCTAAAGCCTGCTATTTGGAGGCTTCATCTGCATAATAAAACCTTGATCCCCAGGATTCCTTAACCCAGACATTCCTTTCTATTGATAATAACTTTCAACCAACTGCCAATCAGAAAATTTTGAAATCTACCTATGACCTGGAAGCCCCTACCCCCTAACAGCTGTCTTACCCTTCCGGATCAATGTAAATCTTACATGTATTTGATTGATGTCTCATGTCTCCCTAAAATGTTTATAACCAGGGCACACGTTATCAGGATCACGTGAGGGCTGTGTCAGGGGCCATTGGTCACCCATATTTGGCTCAGAATAAATCTCTTCAAATATTTTACAGAGTCTGACCCTCATTGACAACAAATACCTCAAAAAGAAAAAAAGAAAGAAAGAAACCCCTTAAGGAGTAAAACAATACAAAATAAATCATTCTTAAGTTCAGAATTAGATGAGCTACTGGTGGAAATTTTTGGGACAACTGAAGGAGACGGACATTTCCTGGGATAAAAATGAGAGAAATGAATGTACAAGAAGTAACACAACCAATTACAAAGCTTAGAAAGGGAGTGAATGGAGGCAGACAGAGGGGAAAAAAAAAAAAAGCACCCACCAGGATTAGTTTCCATCTTCAAAGCCCTTTAAACTACAGAAATGCCATTCATTCAACAAATTTAACATGCATTCTGCACTTATTACCTATCAAACACTGTGCTCAACACTTTGCAGGTATCATGTCTCACGTTTCATGCTCACATCAACCCTACGAGGCATCAACCCTCATTTATGGATGAGAAAATAAAGGTTTATAGTAGTGAAGGTCATACAGCTAGGAAGAGGCTTCAAAGCCAGGACTGTACTCTAATGCTACAGGAGTCTAGTCAGCATTCTACATGTGACAAAACACAAAAAAAGGGATCAAGCATGGCACCACAAGTTGGAGTTTCTGCCTCAGACAGCAAGAGCTGCAAGCCTCAATTATATTAGCAGCAAAAGTTCATAGCATTTCTTCACTTTGTCCTTGGTCATCACCTAGGCTTTATTTCTCAAGTTGCTACCCAAGAATTAGATTTTGACTGCCGTTAAGTATTTTTCCCCTATAAGAATTACAATCTAAGTGTGGCCAGGTGCGGTGGCTCACGCCTGTAATCCCAGCACTTCGGGAGGCCGAGACGGGCGGATCACCTGAGGTCGGGAGTTTGGGACCAGCCTGACCAACATGGAGAAAGCCCGTCTCTACTAAAAATACAAAATTAACCGGGCATGGTGGCGCATGCCTGTAATCCCAGCTACTTGGGAGGCTGAGGCAGGAGAATCGCTTGAACCCGGGAGGCGGAGGTTGCGGTGCGCCGAGATCGCGCCACGGCACTCCAGCCTGGGCGACAAGAGCAAAACTCCGTCTCAAAAAAGAATTACAATCTGTGTGGAACATCACGCTTCGCAGCTGTTAAGAGAACCACATCAAGACAAGAGAGGATTTGAAGGGACACACAGCTGACACAGACACACGAAGAATCTCACACCATCACACTATTTTCACCGCCTTGATCATTCATTAAACCTTGTGAAAGAGAAGCCAAATCCTCGACAAGAAGTTGCCTTTACAAACAAAAGTCGTGAGACATACAAAACCACCAGATCATTATAAAGCAGACAAGGTCTGAGGGCAAGTAAATGAGACCTGGCTAGCTGCTTCATCCTTGTATCACCACCGTCCCCTACTTAACCCAGTGTTCAATTCATCAACCGAAATTTACTGCGTGCCTACTATGCACCTGGCTCTGAGCCACGTGTTGGGAATATACTGGTGTAAAGGATCGCTCTCATTAACTGAGGTGAAGTAAGCGTTGAATATATTGTTGAGCAAATAAACCTGAACACACTCAACTTTCAGTTCAACCAAAGCACCAACTCCTTCTTGCTGAAGGAAAGTTCCTCACCTTCCGCCCTACTGACCTTTTGGGGGATTTTTCTTTGTTGTTGGCGGCTTCCTATACACAGTAGGCTGTGGAGCAGCATCCCTGGCTTCTTCACACTACATGCCAGTAGCAAGCCCTGGAGCTGTGACTATCAAAAATTTTTCCAGACATCGACCAATGTCCCCAGGGAAGCAAAATTGCCCCGGCCGAGAAGTCCCGGGGTAAGGCCCCGCCAAGTGCTCTCCGTCCCACAACCCTAATTCTCTACACAGTCTTCCAACCTCGGCCCAAACTTCACCTCCTCGGGGAGGGCTCCCTGACCTCTCCGACTAGATCCGCACCTTCTATTTTGTGCTCTTTGTAAGATTTTTCCACTCTACCCTCACTGCGCGCCGAGGGATTACCCCGCTTAACGTCGACTCCCCTCCCAGGGCTGTGCGCTCCGCGAGGGCAAGGAATGCGCCGCCCGCTGTATCCCTGGCTATCGGCACAGGGCCTGGCACGCAGATAAAGCGACTGCTGTGGGGTGAACCACGGAGGGCAAAGCAAGGCAGCGGGGTAAGCGAGGGGAACGCGACGCGAGAGGGCGTGTGCGGGGGCACTCGCTTCGGGGCGGAGGCGCATGCGCTTCGCTCTCCCTTGCCCCTCACGGTGGCAGGTCGCGAGCTTCTGAGGCTTCACCGGAGCTACGGGAGCAGAGGCAAGGTCGGCCACTAGGACCGGGGCTCCCGAGGGAGGAAAACTTACACGGGCCTGAAAGCGGGCGGCGAAATTCCTTACTCGGGAAGACTGACTGCAGCCACCACGTCTTCGGTGAGCGGTGGTTCCCTCCCTCAGCTCCTCTAACGGCCGTTGCACGCCCGCCAGGCCGCGCGCCACAGAACGCGCGTCCTTCGGCCCCACCCCGTTCTGCCGCCTGTGGCCAATCGGGAATCGAACCGCACCGACTTCCCGCCCCTTTCTGTCCGTTTCTGACCAATCGGCAGTCGAGCCTTGTCGGTATCCCGCCCCCGCACACTACCCTCTGCTCTGAGAGCCGGACAGATCTTTCTGCGCATGACCACGCAGCCACTTGGCTTGTTCTCTGCTCCTTGCCCCGTTTTACCTGTAGGTGGAGCCCTGCTCACCTATACCTGGAGGGGCCTGCTGGGCCTGTGCAGGTTGGGAAGGTGGCGGCCCGGGGGCGGAGGGAGGGGACACGAGAATCCCACTCAACCTGCCTCACCCTCCTTCCATTCCAACGCGCGTCTATCTGTTCTCCCACCTGAAGCAGGGTTTCAGGTTGTGACCAGGAGTTAAGGTGTGGCCTGGGTCACTGACTAGTCAGGGTCAAGGCTTGGTCTGGGTTGGAGGCAGTGGCCAGCCTGTGACTAAGGTTCAGGTTGAAGGGTAAAGGATCAGTCCCACCTCCCTCCCCAAACTTGGTCCCCAGGAAAAGGAACCGTTAAGTTCATTTGCATTAATAGGCGCTTGAAGAGTCAGAGAGGAGAATTGTTTCAAGTGAGAACAGAACCATCAGCCAAAGGAATGAATCTCGGATAGTGAAATTTTGGGTATCTAGAAACCTGACTTGGGAGGGAGAGATATTAAAAAGTTGTGTAGGAAGCCGGGAGCGGTGGCTCACGCCTGTAATCCCAGCACTTTGGGAGACAGAGGAGGGCGGATCACGAGGTCAGGAGATCGAGACCATCCTGGCCAACATGGTGAAACCTCCTCTCTATTAAAAATACAAAAATTAGCTGGGCGTGCTGGCGCGTGCCTGTAATCCCAGCTACTTGGGAGGCTGAGGCGGGAGAATCGCTTGAACCAGGGAGTCGGAGGTTGCAGTGAGCCGAGATTGCGACCCGGTACTCCAGCCTGGTCACAGAGTGAGGCTCCATCTCTAGAGAGAAAAAAAAAAGTTGTATGATTTCTTAGCTTTAAGAGCCAGACAAAGCGAGTTCATTACTGAATAAAAGTCACCCTGGAGGAAAGACCCTAGGGATGTGCCCCAAGGTTGTATCGTCTGCGCTCTCTTTTAGTATTTTTTTTTTTTTTTTTGAGACGGAGTCTCGCTCTGTCGCCCAGGCTGGAGTGCAGTGGCGCGATCTCGGCTCACTGCAAGCTCCGCCTCCCGGGTTCACGCCATTCTCCTGCCTCAGCCTCCTGAGTAGCTGGGACTACAGGCGCCCACAACTGCGCCCGGCTAATTTTTTGTATTTTTAGTAGAGACGGGGTTTCACTGTGGTCTCGATCTCCTGACCTTGTGATCCGCCCGCCTCGGCCTCCCAAAGTGCTGGGATTACAGGCGTGAGCCACCGCGCCCGGCTTCTTTTAGTATTTTAAGGTAAAAATATAGGAGACATAAAATAGCAGATTTAATGGATAATGAAAATGAACCTGGGTATGATATGAAATTAGGACCAGAAGCCTCTGTTAATGTAAAGGCTAAAAAAAAAAAAAAAATGTTAAGACAGGGTGTCTAAATGAATAAATTTATGGACTAATGGGTAGAAAGCTAGAAAGTGTTAGTCCTGGCCAGACACGGTGGCTCACGCCTGTAATCTCAGCACTTTGGGAGGCCAAGGCAGGTGGATCACCTGAGGTCAGGAATTTGAAATCAGCCCGTGGCCAACATGATAAAACCCCATCTCTACTAAAAATGCAAAAATTAGCCAGGTATGGTGGTGGGCGCCTGTAATCCCAGCTACTGGGGAAGCTGAGTCAAGAGAATCTCTTGAATCCAGGAGGAGAGGTTGCAGTGAGCCAAGATCACTGCACTCCAGCCTGGGCAACAGAGCAAGATTCTGAAAAAAAAAAAAAAAAAAAGAAAGTCAGAAAACGTTGAAGGCTTCCATTTCTTTTGTGAAAGGCATATGTGAGGAGGGAGGGAACAGGGGCGTCTAGAGGACTGAGAAGAATTAGGAAGATGTGAATTGCTGATACAGAGGATAGAAGAGAAATCCGACTGAAACATAGTGGAAGTGTTGAGATTTAAATTTACAAATAGCAAACAGTACATTTGTACAGTTCTTTTTAATAGATATCTATAGTTTAAAAGTAACTCTGTTATCTACTGCCAATTTTCTTTTTTGTTTGTTTTGTTTTGAGACAGTCTTGCTCTGTCACCCAGGCTGGAGTGTAGTGGCATGATCTCAGCTGACTGCAACCTCCGCCTCCTGGGTTCAAGCAATTCTCCTGTCTCAGCCTCCTGAGTAGCTGGGACTATAGGCACCCACCACTACACCTGGCTAATTTTTGTATTTTTAGTAGAGACAGGGTTTCACCATGTTGACCAGGCTGGTCTCAAACTCCTGACCTCAGGTGATCCACCTGCCTTGGCCTCCCAAAATGCTGGGATTACAGGCATGGGCCACCACAGCCAGCCCTACTGCCAATTTTCAAACGTGAATGACTTGTCATATGTATATATATACAAATATACTAGTCAGGGTTATGGCACAGTCTGAGGCTAGGGTCAGGGCTTGGTCTGGGTTGGAGGCAATGGTCAGCCTATGACCAGGGTTCAGGTTGAAGGGTAAAGAATCAGTCCTGCTTCCCTCCCCAAACTTGGTCCCCAGGAAAAGGAACCATTAAGTCCATTGTCCATTTGCATTAATATGAGCTTGAAGAATCAGACTGGAAAATTGTTTCAAAGGAGGAACACACACACACACGCATTTGAGAAGGGGTCTCTTTATGTTGCCTAGGCTGGGCTCAGACTCCTGGGCTTAAGCTATCCTCCCGTTCAACCTCCAGAGTTGCTCGGACTACAGACCTGTGCCACCACTCCCAGCTCATTTATATTTTAACAGAGACTTTTGGTCCTAATTTCAGAGAATATTCACGACCAACCTCTTTAGATATATTCTTTTTTTTTTTTTTTTTTTTTTCAAGATGGAGTCTTGCTTTGTCGCCCAGGCTGGAGTACAGTGGAGTGATCTCAGCTCACTGCAACCTCTGCCTCCCGGGTTCAAGTGATTCTTCTGCCTCAGCCTCCTGGGTAGCTGGGACTACAGGCACCTGCCACCATGCCTGGCTAATTTTTGTATTTTTAATAGAGACAGGGTTTCACCATGTTGGCCAGGCTGGTCTCTAATTCCTGACCTTGTGATCTGCCTGCCTTGGCCTCCCAAAGTGTTGGGATTACAGATGTGAGCGCCTGGCCAATATGAGATTCTTAAATCATCAGTTACATTATTGTTTTTAAAAGACTTGCTGGATGTATTAGTCTGTTCTCACACTGCGAACTGTTCTCACAGTGTGAGAACAGACTAATGTTAACTGGGTAAGACATACCCGAGACTAGGTAATTTATAAAGGGAAGAGGTTTAATTGACTCACAGTTCCACAGGGCTGGGGAGGCCTCAGGAAACTTACAATCATGGCAGAAGGGGAAGCAAGCACATCCTTCTTCACATGGTGGCAGCAAGGAGAAGTGCCCAGCAAAATGGGGGAAAACCCCTTATAAAACCATCAGATCTTGTGAAAACTCACTATCATGAGACCAGCATCATGAGACCAGCATGAGGGCAACTGCCCCCATGATTAAATTACCTCCCATCACTTTCCTCCTATGACACATGGAGATTATGGGAACACGATGAGATTTGGGTAGGGACACAGCCAAATCATATCACTGAATATTTTAATAAAATATATCAAGTACACTATGACTTAATAACTGAAAAGGGACGGGGTTAGGCCAGATGTGACCTACCTCAGTATAATAAAAAATAAATTGCAATCCCAGCACTTTGGGAGGCTGAGACGGGCGGATCACAAGGTAAGGAGATCGAGACCATCCTGGCTACCACAGTGAAACCCCATATCTACTAAAAAATACAAAAAACTAGCCGAGTGTGGTGGCCAGTGCCTGTGGTCCCAGCTACTCAGGAGGCTGAGGCGGGAGAATGGTGTAAACCTGGGAGGCGGAGCTTGCAGTGAGCTGAGATCCGGCCACTGCACTCCAGCCTGGGAGACAGAGCTAGACTCCGTCTAAAAAAAATAAAAATAAAATAAAATAAAATAAATTGCAACTTTGTTACAATCATATAATTAGAGTTATCACTTTCATATGCACTGTGTTGTCTGGTGGATTATTTTACAAGCATCTATTGTTACAGAGCACTGAGGCTTCTTTAACATGGTCAACTAATTTAGTTTAAATGCAATAGCTTCCTTGTTTACTTAATTTTATTTCATTTATTTTCTTTTTGAGATATTTAAGCAGAGTCAATATTTTGTCCTTATCCTTCAAGATATATATGTATATATTTTTTCTACTTCCCTTCTTCCCTCAGGATATATTTTATCTATTTGTTTCTGAGACAGAGTCTTGCTCTGTTGCCCAGGCTGGAGTGCAATGGCACAATCTCAGCTCACTGCAAACCTCCACTTCTTGGGTTCAAGAGATTCTCTTGCCTCAGCCTCCTGAGTAGCTGGGATTACAGGCACCTGCCACCACGCCCAGCTAATTTTTGTATTTTTAGTAGAGAGGATTTCACTATTACCGCCAGGCTGGGCTTGCATGCCTAACCTCGGGTGATCCACCCACCTCAGCCTCCCAAAATGCAGGGATTACAAGTGTGAGCCACAGTGCCCAGCCAGGATACATTTTAAATAACGGCAAGGGCTAATGCCTTCAATAGCAGGGCTGTTTAAACAGTCTACTACAGATGTATAAAGTCAATATGAATTCACAATAAAATGTAATTGCTGATTTAATAAATGTGTGACTTTGATGTGCATGAAAAAATAATATGGATTGTTCATTTGACATGATTTTTTTCAGGAGCTGTTAAGGCATTTAAGACAACAAAATGTTCCTGCAAATGAAAAAAAAATTTTTTTTTGAGACAAGAGTCTTGCTGTGTCGCCCAGGCTGGAGTGCAGTGGCGAGATCTCAGCTCACTGCAACCTCTGCCTCCCAGGTTCCTGCCATTCTCCTGCCTCAGCCTCCCAAGTAGCTGGGACTACAGGTGCCCACCACTACGCTCGGCAAATTTTTTGTGTTTTTAGTAGAGACGGGGTTTCACCGTGTTAGCCAGAATGGTCTCGATCTCCTGACCTCGTGATCCACCCGCCTTGGGCAGATAAATGTGTACACTGCCAAAGTGCTGGGATTACAGGCATGAGCCACCGTGCCCGGCCAGCCTGCAAATGAAATATTAAGACTGTTAAATTTAGCTTTTTTTTTTTTTTTTAGAAAAGGTCTTACTGTCACCCAGGCTGGAGTACAGTGGCAGGAACACAGCTCACTGCCTCAGCCTCCTGAGTAGCTGGGACTACAGGTGCCCGCCATCACGCCCAGCTAATTTTTTTTTTATTTTAATTTTTAGTAGAGACAGGGTTTCTCCGTGTTAGCCAGGATGGTCTCGATCTCCTAACCTCGTGATCCGCCCGCCTTGGCCTCCCAAAGTGCTGGGATTACAGGCGTGAGCCACCACGCCCAGCGAGGGTTGAAGTTTTGAAGGACCGTTATGGAACAGAAAGAAGGGAGAGACTGTTTCTAGATCATTAAGGAATATTTACCAAAAAAAGGCTGGCACGAGGGACAGCCTGGGAGAAGAGTAATCTGATGTGACAGGAAAGGTAAGAATGGAAGGAGACAGGCAGAGAAGGCTCAGACTCGAAATTTACTGAGTGAGACCAGGACCCGGTGAGGAGAGCAGAAGCCGAGGAGGACATGGGCTCGGGGAGGAGATTTGCATTTAGGGAAGAGTGGAGGGCATGAAGGAAGGAGGGGACTTGGTGGCGGGTGTCAGAACAGGTCGGTAGGAGGCTCTGGAAGAGGAGTCAGGGAGGCCCCAGAAATGATCCAGTTACCGCTTATTCGGATGGGCTCGAATACTATCCAGCTGCCGTCGCGCTCCAGACCCTCCCGCGTTCGGATCTCCCAGGAGCGATCCCTCCCAGGCGAGTTCTTCTGACTACAGGCCTGCGGGCAACTCAAGCACAAGGGTAGCGGGGACTTTGCCCAAGACCCCAGGGTAGCCCCACCTCTCTCCCCGCCCCAAGTGAGTTCACCAATCCACAAGACCTAGGTCTTCAAAATCCCGCCTCGTCTTCCACAAGCCCCGCCCATGGCAGGACCTGCCAGTTCCCAGCACCGCAGTCCCCCAGGCCCCGCCTTCCGTGACGCTTCCGTGAGGACGGCGCAGCTGGGAGTCCGGCTACCCAGCCTGCCCCGCAGGAACTGCCTTGCAGGCAAGGCTGCGGCGACTGCACAGGAGGCCCTGGGGCTGCCCACTCACCGGTTGGCACGAGCGTCTCGCCCGCGTGTCACACAGGGTCACTCGGCCGTGCAGATAGAGCGTATCGCTCGTCGAGAAGCCGATCAGGTTGAAGGCCAGGGTCACCTCCAGAAAGGCCCCGTTGGCCCGCAGGCCTGGAGCAGCCGGTTGCTGATGCGGCAGCTGTGGGGGAGAGGCAGCGTCACGGGCCCGCGGTGCCCATGGATGAGCACCGAGCGCCGTTGCCCACTTTTCACGTTTACGTGTATAGGTGCAGATGCTGGTCTCATGCTGAGAACTTTACATGGATTGTTTCATTTCATCCTTACAGATTCCGTGAAGAAGACAATACTTTTGCCCCTCACCACCCCTTTTTTAAAGATGAGGAAACTGAGGCTCAAACTGAGATTCAAAGAGGGTTGCCCAAGGTTCTGCAGGGAGCAGGCTGGCCCCAGCGCCCGCCCACAGTCTTAATCACTGGGTTCTATTTCCTCCTGACAAAGGAGGAATGACAGGCGAGGGACAGGTTTAGCCGTGGTGTGTTTAAGAGCCTGTACTAGAGACCGATGGTGTGTCATAGGTGTAGTCGCCTAAACTCCGAGTCCTCTCTTGTTCTCTCAGCTGTAAAGTGGGGGAAATAATACTTCATAGGGTTGTTTGGAGGAATAAATGAGGTAATAAATGATTCCCTGTGCTCTGTGAAGCCTTGTTACTAAAATATGACCTAAAAGCCCAGAGACCCAACTCTTTCCCAAGAATGTTGAGGAAGAACTTGGATTTACTGTCTCTGTGTTCCCAACACTTAGCAAGATCTGCAACTTATTGTGTGAACTGAGCCTCAGTTTCTCTATAAAGTGGGAATGAAAATATAGCTATCTTGGCCAGGCACGGTGACTCACGCCTGTAATCCCAGCACTTTGGGAGGCTGAGGCGGGTGGATCACCTGAGGTCAAGGATTCGAGACCAGCCTGGCCAATATGGTGAAACCCCATATCTACTAAAAATACAAAAATTAGCTAGGCATGGTGGCCGGCGCCTGTGGTCCCAGCTACTCCGGAGGCTAAGACAGGAGAATTGCTTGAACCTGGGAGGCAGAGGTGGTAGTGAGCTGAGATCGTGCCACTTCACTCCAGCCTGAGCAACAGAGTGACAAAATATAACTATCTCATAGAGTGTGTTGGAGGCTTAAATGAGTTAATATATGTGAAGTGATTCAAACTGTCTGGCGTAGAGTCAATGCTATGTCAGTATTAGATATTATTAGCTACTAAATATTATGAATGTCCAATATATAACATATATATAGCACTCTGAAATGTTGTGTCTTTGTTTTTTAGTTTTATCATTGTAGGCCCTCAGTAACTGAGCAAAGAATAAAAGAAATGCATGTTATTTGGTGGCTGCAAGATCTTGGGCAGGCTTTAATCTCTGAGCCTTAATTTACTTATCTTCAAAATGGGAATGATAGCATTATTCAAGAAACATTCACCCAGCACTTACTTTCTTCCAGCGTTTGCATGCCAGGGATACCAAGAAGAGTGACAGCATCTGTGCTCAAGTGTATAAAAGCACCCAGCACAAGCCAAATCCAAGGGCTGGTCTGGCACTCACAGGAGGTTACCAGACCTGACCTCTTGTTCACAAAGTGGTAAGTGACCTTAACAGCACCTATCCTGGAGATGTTGGTGCTGGCAAAGACCTCACTGACCACCAGGGCCAATTGGTCTGGATCACTGCTTATGGCCTTGAGGACCGTGTAGGGGGGCATGCCAAGAGGAACTGTTCTGTTCTCAAGCAGAGTTGAGAGCTGAAGGTCTGTAAAGATGCCCAAGATGATGATGGTGTCCCCAGTGCCCGGAACGTGGATGGTGCTATATCTGGAGAGGGACAGAAGTGAAACCCTCATCATGAAACCATAGAGGGAGAGACACTCACCCACACCTTCTGCCTCCCGAAGGTCACTGAGCACTGGTAACCATAGAGAATAAAGAGCGGGCGGAACAAACCTGCTTACCTTCTTCCTGGTCTGCCTAAAAAGTGAGGTACCACCTCATAGATCCCCAGACCTAGGACCCTTGAAGCCATCCACAGGAATTTACATAGACAACTTGTATGTATTCCTTCACAGAAGCTCTTTTTTTTTTTTTTTTTTTTTTTTTTTTTTTTTTAATTGAGACAGAGTCTCACTCTGTTGCCTAGGCTGGAGGGCAGTGGCATGACTACGGCTCACTGCAGCCTCGACCTCCCAGGCTCAAGCGATCCCCCCACCTCAGCCTCCCAAGTAGTTGAGACTATAAGCACACACCATCAAGTCCAGCCAGAAGCATCTCTTTTCTTCCACTAATGCTTTGAATTTCCATCTAAGAGGTGCCTCTGTTTGAGCATATGGGAGCAACATCCTGAGGGTGCTAACTCTTGTGCCTGGATTAGAGGTAGAGAGGTAGAGAACTCGATAGGCTCCCAGGGCCCAGCCAGAGTGGAAGCTGACGAGGCAGAACTTATGGGAAGGAGAATACCTGGTAGGGATGAGTCTGGCTGACATTCACCACCAGGGAGTACTTGCAGCTGAAGCTGAGCATTGTGGAGTCATTGCTGATGAAACCAGGGAGAACCTGCAGAAGCTGCACCTCCAGAGAGTACAGGGCGTGGCTGCTGTTGGTCTAGAAAGGACAAGAAGGCTGCCATTACTCTCAGATCTCCAGAGGAGATGCCTTCTCCCACCCTCATTTGCTGCAAGTTGTTTACTTATTTTATTTTATTTTATTTATTTATTTTTTTGAGACAGAGTCCCTTTGTTGCCCAGGCTGGAGTGCAGTGGTGCGATCTTGGCTCACTGCAACCGCCGCCTCTCCGGTTCAAGTGATTCCCGGCCGCAAGTTGTTTATTTGAATAAAAGTGATTGCTGGGCACGGTGGCTGTAATCCCAGCACTTTGGGAGGCCGAGGCGGGTGGGTCACCTGAGGTCAGGAGTTCCAGACCAGTCTGGCCAATATGACGAAACCCTGTCTCTACTAAAAATACAAAAAATTAGCTGGTCGTGGTGGCGGGTGCCTATAATCCCAGCTATTCAGGAGGCTGAGGCAGGAGGATCACTTCAACCTGGGAGGCAGGGGTTGGAGTGATCAGAGGTCGTGCCACTGCACTCCAGCCCGGGTGACAGAGCAAGACTCTGTCTCAAAAAATAAAAATAAAAAAACAACTGGTAGCTGAAGTTTACTGAACATGGGCTGCATGCCAGGCACTGTGGTTTGACCACAATTCTCTGAGGGGAGTTATCCCATTATACAGAAGAGCAAACAGGCTTAGAAAGGTTAAAAATCTTATCCAGGCCGGGCGCTGTGGCTCACGCCTGTAATCCCAGCACTTTGTGAGGCTGAAGAGGGTGGATCACCTGAGGTCAGGAGTTAGACAACAGCCTGACCAACATGGAGAAACTCCATCTCTACTGAAAATACAAAATTACCTGGGCTTGGTGGTGCATGCCTGTTATCCCAGCTACTCAAGAGGTTGAGACAGGAGGATCGCTTGAATCTGGGAGGCAGAGGTTGCAGTGAGTGGAGATCACGCCATTGCACTTCAGCCTGGGCAACAAGAGCATGGTGGCACGTGCCTGTAATTCCAGTTATTTCAGAGGCTGACACACGAGAATCACTTGAACCCGGGAGGCAGATGTTGCAGTAAGCAGAGATCACACCACTGCACTCCAGCCTGGGCAACAGAGCAAGACTCTGTCTCGAAAAAAAAGATATGTTTTGTTATTATAAAAAAGCAGTTTATTAAAAAGAACACAGAGAGGGCAGGCACAGTGGCTCGTGCCTGTAATTCCAGCACTTTGGGAGGCCGAGGCGGGCGGATCACGAGGTCAGGAGTTAAAGACCAGCCTGGCCAACATAGTGAAACCCTGTCTCTACTAAAAATACAAAAAATTAGCTGGGTGGGGTGGCAGGCACCCATAAACCCAGCTACTTGAGAGGCTGAGGCAGGAGAAGGAATCACTTGAACCTGGGAGGCGAAGGTTGCAGTGAGCTGAGATCATGCCATTGCACTCCTGCCTGGGCAACAGTGCAAGACTCTGTTTAAAAACAAAAACAGGCTGGGCGCGGTGGCTCACGCCTGTAATCCCAGCACTTTGGGAGGCCGAGATGGGAGGATCACGAGGTCAGGAGATCGAGACCATCCTGGCTAACACGGTGAAACCCTGTCTCTACTAAAAATATAAAAAAAAAAATTAGCTGGGCGTGGTGGCAGGCGCCTGTAGTCCCAGCTACACGGGAGGCTGAGGCAGGAGAATGGCGTGAACCTGGGAGGCGGAGCTTGCAGTGAGCCAAGATTGCGCCACTGCACTCCAGCCTGGGCAACAGAGCAAGACTCCGTCTCAAAAAAAAAACAAAAACAAAAAAACAAAAACAAACAAAAAAACAAAATACTGAGAGAGTTCTGGGAGCCTAGCCATGGACTTAGCCTTTCCATGTTGAAACTGCCGATTCTATTCCATAAGCTAAGCTAGAGACCCCGTGAATCCCTGGGTGGCAGAACCAGAGACAAAGGCAGACAACTGGGAGGAACTAAACCATCTTTCTTTGTTTGGTTTTTTTTTTTTTGAGACAGAGTCTCACTCTGTCACCCAGGCTGGAGTGCAATGGCGTGGTCTCGGCTCACTGCAACCTCCACCTCCTGGGTTCAAGCAATTATCCTGCCTCAGCCTCCCGAGTAGCTGGGACTGCAGGTGCCTGCCACCACCCACAGCTAATTTTTGTATTTTTAGTAGAGACAGGGTTTCACCATATTAGCCAGGCTGGTCTTGAACTCCTGACCTCATTGTCTACCCGCCTTGGCCTCCCGAAGTGCTGGGATTACAAGTGTGAGCCACTGCACCCGGCCTAAACCATCTCTTTAGGACAAACTCTGCTTGTTAAACTGAGCCTGGGGGGGAGCCCCGGCGCCTGCTTGAAGGGATGTGGAAGCCAGTCTATGTGTTGAAGGAAACTGACCTGGCAGGGCACTCTCCCCCATTCAGTCAGATCTGCTCTACTTTGGCGTATTTATTTTCATATTTGGCTTTTATGTAAGACCCCTCCCAAAGAAACGAGGTGGCAGCGTCAGTGAGCAGTTGGGAGCACAAACTACTCTGTAATAGCTAGCTGTGTGATTTGGGAAAATCCCTCAACATGACTGGGCCTTCCACTACTCTCTTTAAAATGGGAACCTCACAGGATTACCGTGAAAATTTAGTGAGATAATGCCTGTAAAAAAGTATTTGGCCACGACACATGGCACATGGTAAGAAATTAATAAATATTGGTTGTGACTGTGATTATTATTATTTTAGAGGGTTCCATGGCTGACAATAGTTTGGAAACCAATAACTCAATCCATCAAATGTAGTATCACCCACAAGGGTGTTCCCAGTCTGAAGGGGGACAACACAGTCTTTTCTGTCAAAAAGACTGGCCCTGATGGCTGGGATTTGACTCCGTTCCAGAGAATTTCTTAGTCAGATGGAAATAAAGTAATAACTGGTGGCCAATCACTCCTTTCCCGGCCCCTCCCACCATCAGGTGGCCTCTCCCAGTTTGCTTACAGAGAGGCGAAGTCCACAAGTACCCTCCCTCTATCTTTGTTTTTTTTTTGAGATGGAGTCTCGCTCTGTTGCCCAGGCTGGAGTGCAGTGGCACAATCTCGGCTCACTGCAAGCTCTGCCTCCTGGGTTCATGCCATTCTCCTGCCTCAGCCTCCCGAGTAGCTGGGACTACAGGCACCCGCCACCACGCCTGGCTAATTTTTTTTTTTTTGTATTTTTAGTAGACATGGGGTTTCACTGTGTTAGCCAGGATGGTGTCAATCTCCTGACCTCGTAATCTGCCCGCCTTGGCCTCCCAAAGTGGTGGGATTACAGGTGTGAGCCACTGCGCCCGGCCACCCTCCTTATTCTGTAACAGGAAGATCTGGACACGGAGACCCTGTTCTATCTTGCTGATGCTGGAGCATCCTGAGAAGGCATCTTTCATCAGCATCCAGCAGCAAGTCTGCAGGATATAGCTGCTCAGGACCACCTCGATTTTCCGTGGCCGGCAGTGTAGGCTCACCGACCCCTGGACGGTTCTGCAGGAGGACAAAAGCCAGGGCAGGGGACTCCTGAGGCTCCTGGGATGATGCCATGGGAGGAGATTCAAGTTCTAATGTTGGGGGAGGAGACGTTTTTGGGATATTAGCCCAATTCTCAAACACTTCCTTAACCAAGGACTCTCCACCAGGCATGGTGGCTCATGTCTGTAATCCCAGCACTTTGGGAGGCTGAGGCAGGCGATCACCTGAGGTCAGGAGTTTGAGACCAGCCTGGCCAACATGGTGAAACCCGGTCTCTACTGCATATACAAAACTTAGCCGGATGTGGTGGCGTGTGCCTGTAGTCCCAGCTACTCCGGAGGCTGAGGGTAGAGAATCGCTTGAACCCAGAGGCAGAGGTTGCAGTGAGCTGAGATTGTGCCACTGCACTCCAGCCTGGGCGACAAAACGAGACTCCATCTCAAAACAAAACAAAACAAAAAAACCAGGACTCTTCCTCACAGCCGTATTTGTTGCCCTGTGGGACACTGGTCCCTGGCCTTAGCTGATCCACTCAGAATCTCTTTCCCAGGAATTAGGAACTGGGCCTCAAAGGAGGCAGCATAAAGCTTGAGAGGTGAGGTGGTCTTCTGTCATGTGGGCTGGGAGGTGGGAGGGACAGAGTGGGTGCAGGTGTGGAATGGGAGGAGCAAGACTGAGCAGAGAGAGAAGCAGCCCCCTGGTTCCTGCTACATTCCCAGTTCTAGTTCCAGTCCTTGGAGAACCTGGCTGGAGTCTGCCCTTGGCCTCCATGAAACACTGTTTTTCTTTAGCCCAATTGATTTCTGTTATTTGTCTGGCAAGATTATTTTTGAGATATTAATTTGTTTTTTTCTCTGTCATTTTCCTCCTATTCTAATCTGGAAGCCAGGCCTTGCAGTTTTTTCGAGGGGCCTAAAC